ATATATATATATATACAAATGTGCAGATAAAAATTTTCACGTAAAATTCTTGGATCAATATTTTTTAAAAAATGACTATGAATCATGATCGTGTGGAAAAATGAGATTATAAGTATAAGATAGATTTTAAGACGCAATTTCCTAGACCACTGTCGCCAATCGATTAGCTTGCATGGCTTATTCGCACCACACGCCAGAATTTCCAATAAAATGCAGCAAAGCTTAAAGCAGAAGCGTGAAGATTTCTTTCGAATAATAGAATTGCGGTCATTGAATTCTGATATCCGATCTCGGATACATCTTCTCTTACAATCGAAGTTTACGAGCCTCAAAGAGCTACACCTCACGGCTTTGTATCATTGAACCTGATTTTACCACCGACATTGTCCCCTACAACTTTTTCACAAAATTTAGTTAGTTAACTTTTAGTTTCGAAATTCAGTCAGAGTTTCTACTTTGAGAATAATTGTGAACGAAAACTTATTCTTATTCTTTATTTTTTTCTTTCTTTCTTTATGACTCCTTTCTCATTTTTTAATTATAATTTTGTAATAATGATGAAATTTGATAAATTTCGTTTGCTTAAGGTCGATATCGCGTGAATATTTTGGCTAATGAAAATTTAATTAGACACATACTGGTAACAATCAATCATAAAACACAACCGACTCTACGCTCTATTCGCAGTTTCTATATTTAGATAATCAATGACGAACATATTTGCAGCAATGTTCCATGACTTTTGCTAAATATTATGTTAACTACAAATACATTATTCCTGAAAAAAATCTCACAACATGTTGACCATCGTTTAAACAATATATCTAGATAAAGTTTTCTCAAAGAATAAAAAAAATGAATCTCTTTATCGTCATCTTTTTTCCATTAAAGAAACGATCGTTTTATTTGCAAAAAAAGTTTCTCGTTCATTTTTTTTTTTTTTTTTTATTTTAAACACTCGTCTTTCTATCTTTCTTTCTGCACATTACATTAAACCCTATTTAGTTCAGACTTGATTCCTTACAAATTTTCAAGCGAAGCTTAAAAATTTTTAAGTAACGATAAGTATTTGACGTCATATAAGTTGCATTACGAAGTCAACTTCAAGACAAATCGTTCTTCTTCACGAGCCGTTTGTTTCTCTAAAAAGAAGAGATAACACATGCAATAACGAATCGCTCAGGGGGTATATACGGTTATGTTTCGTTGACGTCATTTGTTCTTCAATAATTCTAAATTTAGCATATCGATGCGAATATTTAAAAAAAAAAAAAAAAAAAAAAGCAAAGCCTCCGAACAAAGGTAAAAGTTTTCGATTCGTACAAATTGTACGAACACGTCACAAAAGTTTGAACGATCGAAAGTTTGAAACGGTGAAACATTTCGCGCAAAAGCACGAATTTTCAATAAGATTCGTGTTTCGAAATGATGATTTTACGATTGAAATGATATTCAATAACAATTATTTCGCAGGAAAATTCGAAGATAATTCTATGACGATAACCGATACACCCTCCCCTCCTTCTCGATCGATATATTAATCCGATTATATAAGCCGTTTGAAAGCATAAAGGCTTTAAAAACGCCTCCCACTTCCACTCGAAAATTCTTCTTCTCCAAACCGATATGGAAATTTTTTCACGAGAGAAATAATCCGTAATCTCTCCCATGCAGAATCTCATCGAGGATTTCGCTCTCCTCTCGTACCTTATCTTCAATTACATTCATCTACTCCCTCTTTCATAGTGACATTCGACTGGCCGGCGATATTCGAATCGATCGGCCGTTACCACTCGCTCGTTCGATCGATTGTCGCCAAAAATAAAACCCGCAACCTCTTCGACCGCTTTTTAATCCGCTGTCGGTGCTTGTCCGTAAACCCTGATTTAGACATCTCGAGCACGCGCCCGGAATCGAAATACACGTCGATCGAAACGAACGCGGTTGTATATAGGCGATCAATCACCTATATATCTATATATAGGTGAGAAATAACGCACGAGAGGAAAAAAAAAAAAAAAAGAAAGAAAGAAGGAAAGAAAGAGTTTAAAAAGTTTATCGAGGCTTCTTTAATTAACCAACGAGGAGAACGAGTAAAATTTCCGATTGAAAAAGGAAACACTCGAGAAATAACGTTAATAACGTTTCAACATCGCACGTGTGTGGGATATCGGTATTCAGAGGCGAAGTTATTTGCGTAGGTGATCTCTTTAATTAGTCAGACCGATATAGAATAAAATATATCGGGTGTTTGTCACGCTTGTGGAAATAGATCATTAAAGGAGATCCTCGGAGTAAATCAAGATCGAGGAGGTGCCGATAATTCAACGGGACGCGATAAAGTTGCCCACGGTTGGTGTTCAAACACCAACGCGAATCTGTCGTGTTAATTAAACTAACATCCTCGTTGTTCCTTGAAAGGTCTTAACCTGGTCGAAAGGTCAGCCGAGAGGTACGAGATAGACCTTTGCCCGACTTCAAGTCGATGTAAATTTTCTCTTTTTTTATTTACGTGGTCATTATCCTTTTTTTAACACCTCGAGGGAGTAATAACGAAAAAAGGATAATAGTTTTTCTAGATGAAAAGAACATTTTGATTATTTTTTTATCTTGAAAAAAAACATGACGCGAATCTTTTATCGAGGATCGAAGCAAAATCGATTTTCTGCATCTCGTTGTTCAAAATTGTTCTTTCCGTATAGAATAATTTAATCATTTTCTTGATACGATACGACGATACAAACGCATCTAAATGTCCAGCTTTCCGAAATATATCACGAACTTTGACCTTTTACGTTTACCTTCGCCCTCGAAGGTTGAAAATATTACAGTTCGAGTTGTAATATCTATGAACCTGAAAACATAATTATTGTATCGCTTCATTTAAAATCTATTTAATCTCTGAAAGTTTTTTCCTCCCCTCGTCAAAGGAAAAATAAAAAATATTCGAAGAATTTGAATCCAAACGAAATCCAAGCCACGAGAAACAAGGAATCCTTGTGTCTGCGTGTTCAAGATATTTTATTATTTATTCTCTTTCGTCGCTCCATTCATCTTCCAAGTTTAATAAAACAAAATGTCTTACTAACGTTCGACCAGAAACGAAGAAGAAAAAAGGAAAAGACATCGGGTTATTTATTTTCAGTGAACCCTTATCTCGCGAGAACCAATCCGGACGCACTTTGAGGTTCTTAATCTTCCAACACGTGCACTACTTCCTCTATTTGCCACTCGATTTCCTTTCTCGAGGAGGAGGGGAGGGGGATTTATCAGCGAAAATGAGACTTTTAATTTGAAATTTCCCCATCGAGGATATTTTAAATATAATTTCCTTCTCGAGGAAATTCCCCCCTTCCTCGAGAATTTTATTAAGCGAAACGTGAACGAAAGGCAGGAGGGAAGGGGAGATGCGCGAAGTCGTGATAGAAATTCGTTAGATTCGGATAATTTGAATGAAAAATTAATGGATTGCAGGGCCACCGAAGGCGGTCTAGCACCGGATGCTGCTGCGGGTGCAGGTGCAGGTGCAGGTTCCGATGGAATCGTCGGAGGTCCGAGAACGCCTCAGCAGATCGCCTCGCAGAAACGACTGCAGGCGACGCAGGCGCAGGTGGACGAGGTCGTCGACATTATGAAAACGAACGTTGAAAAGGTGTTGGAGCGTGATCAAAAGCTGTCCGAGCTCGATGATCGAGCAGGTAAGATCCATGTTATCCATGTTCATTATTTACGTTCGTATTTTTGCTTCTTCTTCGAGCCTGTCGAATATTAATTCGAAAACTTTTCTCCAATACATTTTTTTTTAATTGCTATCGGTAAAGTAAGCAGTAGTCAAGATATGAGACTGTATAATATATTACGTGAAGAGGAAAGGATACGTATAAAATTGAAAAGGTTAAATTTGACGAGCAGTCGAAAAAGGAAGACACGTGATACGTGTCCTCTTTGTCCGTTGTTTATCGCGCATGTCGAAGAAAAAATACGATAAAAGATTTTTTTTTTAAAAGAAGGAAGACACAACGATTAAAACTGGGATTAAAACATAATATGCGAAGCACATGGATGATTAAAGAATCAATTGTCTCTCGTTTCTCCAAGTATATTCTCTTCATTCATTCTCGCGAGGTATTGAAGTAGTTCGACCCTGCGCGTCTCTCTGCACGCTGATATCGATTACTCGTGACGTTCTCGAATCGATGCCACGTTACGAGGCTGACCATCGTCGATCTTTTTCCCTTGCACGCAGATCATTAACACACAACTTTTCCACTGGCAACTTTTGCAATTAAACAAGTTGAAAGATCGTTAAAAAATAATTGGTTAAAAAAATTTAAGAATGAACAATGTTTGTAGAAATAAATCTTCGCTTCGTTTTATTGTAACTTTTATTTTACTATGTTTTTCAAAAAAAAAAAGTAATATAATATAATAAGAATTGTTTGTCGAACTATTGGAAATAGAATAATAATCCCGAATAATAATAATTTGCTCTTTTTAGACGCGCTTCAGCAAGGAGCGTCGCAATTTGAACAACAAGCAGGAAAACTGAAGAGGAAGTTCTGGTTACAAAATTTGAAGGTAATAAAAATCCTTCCGATTCGAAAAATTGAAAAATGTTCGTTTCGATTTGAACCTTCATTCCTTTTTTTTTTTTTTTTTTTTTTTTTTCTTTGCCTTTCTGCTTCTAGATGATGATCATCATGGGCGTCATCGGAATAATCGTATTGGCCATCATTGTTGGTAAGTAACTAGATACATAGATGCACTTATCAAAGCTAATGACACTGCCATTGTAATTGTCTAAATGTTCTGTGTGATACGATCAATGTATCTCGCCACGATATATACAACGACTAATTCGGGATTAATTGAAATAATACTTAATTATATCCAATCGATGATTATTTTCTGTACAAATTTCATGTTGAATTGAAATTAAGATCGAACCGGATCAGTCGTTTTTTTCGGCTAATGTCTCTGCGTCTATATTTTCGTGTTGGAAAAAAAAAAAAAAAAAAAAAAAAAAAAAAGATTTTCACCATCGAAATCATATTGTGTTTTGTGCACGACGCAAAGGGACGACGGTGTCTTCGACGAGTGAAGACGTCGACCGACGAAACGGTTGGTCGAGGAATTCCTTCGAGCATCCCCCATCCTCGAGGGAATTTCCTCGAGTTTGATAAAGTCTTGTCGACAGAATTATCACCGTGCTTCGCTTAAAATCGTAACTTGTGTCGATCGTTGTTTTCGTGTGAATCGAGGAAAATTCTCTAAACACGATATCGAGAAAAGAAAAGAAAAAAATAAAAATTTCACTTAAACGATATTAAAAATAATAATATTCATTGATTGATCGAACAGTCTCGTTCGTCATAAAGATTAAAAATCAATCTTTTCTCCTCTCCTTAGCTCAGAGAGAAAAATTTTTTCCCCACGAAATTCGCGGAAGGAAACTGTTCGTAGAAGATCGAGAAGCGATCACGCGCTAACGTGTTACTAAATCTGTTCATCACTGTTTCATCATCTAACGTGTGAATTCTATGTGTTTCTCTTTTTTCGTCTAGCGAACTTCATGTAGACGCGCTGGTTGGTGGAAAAAGATTTGTGTGTGAGTGAGTCTGAAGGTAGACACAGCAACAAAACTGCGACATTGCGTATTACTGTTCTCTCTCTCTCTCTCTCTTTCTCTCTTTATCTCTCTCTCTCTATCTATCTATCTGTTTCTACTTTTTCCTATTTTTATCCTTATCTGTTCACGTAGGACAGTGTGTACGTGAAATACCTGTATACGGATGCGTATATCTCCGTTGTTCTACATTATCCTCGAACTCTATATCCCTAAAATCCTTTATATATAATTTATTCGAATTTTCATATGTCCCCTTGTTGCAAATGTTCGTAATTTCGTAAGAATCTTTCCTTTCGGATAAAAATAACAACGAAGCAACTAATGATAATCAAATGATAATAAAATGGTAAAAATCAAAATGTCGAAGAATATCGAAGAATGTCGAGGCGTATACGAGGAGGATAACAAGAAAGGAACAATTATACGCGAGAAAGATCCTTATGAAATTGACGCTTAAATGATCGGTGTTATACATATCTGTCTGCCTGTAATATAGGTATATACTTGCTGGTGTATCACTGTATCTGTATTTCCCTCTTACGAGTCACTGTCCTTCGAGGCTCGTTGTATATTCATGAACCATTGATTTCATCGGATCGTGGCTTCAATTAAGGATCACGCATATATCCACGCATAATCAACGGGAGAAAAGTGTAGAGAGATGGAATGGTGTTTCATGAATTTTCGACGAGAAACTCTTGGTAATCTCTCTCTCTCTCTCTCTGTTCCCAAAGCAACACGATCCAGACTAGCGACACGACATAAACATGAACGTGGAGGCTTTGAGAACGAGTTTAAATATTAACCGAGTTAAAAGATATTAAAATGATCGAGGATATCGATCTACAGATCAATAAATTGCAAACTCTTGAGTTTTTCTGTCGTGGATATTTAAGGATATTTAATTTTAGGATATTTAAACTTTTATATATTATTAATTAATCGAAGCCTTCGCGTAGTTGTAGTTTCTTTGACTCTGTCTTTGCGAGAGGAATTCGTGTAATTCGTGAAAAAAAAAAAAAAAAAAAATAGAAGCTAAAAGAAAGCGAATATCGAAGATGTTTCTTCGTGGACCCATGGAATATTTTCGAAGAAGAAACGTGATAATTTTTTGAATTTTTTGAGAACGTTCCACGACAAGACTAATCGGTTTGGAACGCGACGAGAAAGATGTTTTGAAAAGAATACACAACCACTCACCCAGACCTGTGCCTCGTAATCACTGTTATGTGTCTGTCTGTACTTTTTGATGGCATTGCCCCCTGTCTTTTTTCCGAAGTTGGTCCCAGCCAGTGATTTTCAATTTTTTGGTGGTCGAAAAAAGATTGACGAATGAAAAATGAGTGCGAAAAAAAAGTGCGATGAGAATCGAATATCGTGTCGAACAATTGAGAAAAGAAAAGAGAGAAAAAAAAAAAAAAAAAATAGGAATTAAATGTGGAAATAAAAACATCGCGTGCAGTGAACAAAGATAACGAAAATGAACGATAATGTTAAGATACCACCAAGAGAAATGAAAACACGTATGGACAACAATCACAACGAACAAAATTGACAACATTAATAACAACAATAACAAGAAGTTACTAAATATATATATATATATATATATATTGCTCCTATGAACAACAATAAGAACATCAACAACATCAACAACAATATCAAAAATAGAAAGAGACTTCTAAGCTTTTATTTCACTTCCACTCTTCTCTTCGTGTTACGGTAAGCTACAATTTTTATTGATGCACTTTATCGATAATGATTTTTTTTTTTTTCAAATTTTCTCTTCTCTTTCATCTTCGAGATCGAGATGCAAGGACAAGAATTTTTCTCTTCCTCCGGCCTGCTAAATTTCTAAATTATTAAACTCTTTTTTAACATTTTTTTTTTTCT